TAGACTAAACTGCAAAGATGGAATTGATTCAGCCTTGGGCTTTTTTACTGTCTGTACCTAGCCCTGATGATTCCCCTCTATTAGAGCTGCTGCTGTAGGGAATCTTTCTGGGACCACTGCACTACTAATCAAAGTATCATACATCTTGTACATTTGTACTGAGAGCTCCAAAGAAAGAATATTGTATCTTCTTTGCAGTACTAGTATGCCTTCTTTGAAAAATGTGTGAACAATTTGTGAACCTTTAATTTTGTTATTCTGATGGATTCAATTAATGCTGTAAAGGACATGTAATGTATACTGCACGGTACCTGTTAATACTGCTCTTTCAGGAAAGGGTTACCATTATGCTACTGTAGCTGTCAAGTGGAATTACTGCTTAAATTATGTAGCTTTTTGGGGGGAAATATATAACATAATAGAAAAAATATTCCCCATAGCTTTGTATTGTACTTCCTTCTTCACAGAGTTACATATGTCATGCAAGGAAATCAAAGTACAATGTTAGAATCCTCCCTATGGAAGCATGATAGAGCATCATTTACCCGTAGGCATTTACTACATTTGTTTCATATTGATATTACGAATGTCAACTGGGTTTTTTTCCCTTCAATAAAAATGCTATGCTGTCATTTATTATCTACTTGACAGAAGCAGTAGTTTAATGTTATGAAAATGTTTATAGCCTGAGGAGATGTAGTTTCTAAACGTAAGAATAATTTCACTTGATGTCATTTTGTTAATCATTAATTTTGTTATTGGAGGATTTATGGCAGAAGCATCTATTTTTGTAACACAAAGGTGACCAGATTCGCAGCTTATGTAAGCCAGCAGAGTTCTGAAGAAGTGAATGCAATTGTGTCAACTTGTACCACTTATAGGTGTGGACATGAATTTGTACAGTTTCCTCAAATTGCAGGGTTGCATAATTAGCTGACATGATTTAAGATACTTTTAAAATACTTTAGCCAGCCAGAAACAAGTCAGTGTATTAGTAAGATGCTCCTTTCTTTATCCACAAGTGCCTGGGCGAAAGTACTCAGTGAGATTTTTGGGAGTGTCCCAATTTCCCAAGCATGTCAGAGAAGAGTAAACACCTGAAACTTTTAGACAGAGCAGACCCTCCTACTTCAAATTCAGTAAATGGTAGATTAAAGCAAGACAGCAAATAATACCAAAGCCAGACTCTTCCAAATGTTTCTTAAGACTGGAACCGTTGTTTTTACTCTCCTGAAAGCAGAGATTTTCTGTTGTTATCTAGGTCAGGAGCCTCAGTAAGACTCCTACTCATAGGGTGCATCTACACATGTGCCTGACTGCAGTTGTTTCTGTCATTTAGTACTTGCTAAAGTGACTGCACAGTCATTGCTGTTACTGCACAGTCCAGGCAGTTCATGGGCCGTTTCTAACCCTACTGCGCAGTAGCATCAGCATCATGGTTTGTGCCTGCTGATGCTACATCACTGTAGCGATGAGCTATGTCACCGTAGCTCATTGCTGTGGTGGCGTAGTGTCTCGTGCAGATGCACCCACTATGTAGGAAAGTGTTTTCCAGTTTTGTGAGAGAGAAAATATGCATTAATTCACATTACAGGTAATTGTCTGAATTTGAGGGACTATTCTAGGGTGATGCCTAAAGAGATTAATTGCAGCAATATATATATTCAGTAAGAGAATCCTAATGCTATCCAGATGCATATTTTTAAGCAGACTAAAACAAATTAGCCACTCATATCTGCAGAAAATGATTTTCCCTTTCCAGAATATATTTATAAAAAGACTGAAGAATAATTAATGGGACTTGTGATGCTTGAAAGGGTGGTCTCAAAAAGATTCCTTCTGTTATTTGCTGAATTTTTTTTTAATGAATTTGAAATGTATAAGAGCTACTGATCTGTAGCCTGCTCAGTGAGAGACCCATAACCCCCTCCTTTGTTGCTGACAGCTCTGTGGTTACAATTAGATTGTACTCCCAGTCTATGGCCATGCATGGTGTCACAAGAAGACACTTCTAGCACTGTACCTGGAATGATTTTAACCTTCCACACCCATATAACCAAAATACAGCCAAAAAACCTGTTGGTAGCCATTGCTGTTGTTCAAGGTGCAACAATTTGGTGGTACTTAGAGACTCTTCAGTGAAAAACTGTGGTCCAGAACTGACAGTAAAGATTAAAAGAAAATGAACTGATAAGCAGGGATACTATCAAAAAGATATTTCATATAATTGGCTAGGAGCCATTCTGCCCTTAGTAGCTCTGAAGAACAGACAATGAGCACCAAACAGTTCTTCAGAGAAAGGCAGCAGCCCAGGAAATTCAGGGACCAGACCGAAAAAACAAACTCTCAGTCTGTTGCTTATCTGCAGTATGTGTACAACTAACTATTCATTTAAAAAATCATTTACTTCCTTGCTTTGCACCAGGATCTTCAGTGATATTGAGCTAGCAGTGGGAATGGACTTTGTTAATTGTTTTAGCTGTAGGGTGCTATAGCAACGCTATAAAAATATTTTAAATAGCACCAGGTATACAAGTATTTTACAAGTATTTACATACTTCAAATCGTACTCCAGTGGTACATAAAGAGTGTTTAAAATGATAGAAAACAGACAGTGTACTTGGTGGACGTTTCAAATTGAGTAAGAACATTTTTAGCAGAGTTAAAATTGAAAGCACAAAATGGATACTAATCAAGTGTTCATCTCAGGCAGTGATCAGTGAAGTAGAGAGCAGAGTGTAATATTTATTTAATCAGGGGAAGCAGCAACAAAATGGCTCCCATGGAAGGGAAAAAATACTAACAAGCTGCTCATTACAGTTTACTGTTATCATTATGTGATTTTTTTTCCATACTGAAAGGAAATACAAGGAAACAAGTGCCTCAGATTTCCAGTCTAACACCAATTATTACCATTTCCATAAGAATAATTGCTTCAGTCTAGTCATTCTTAGAACCATTTCTGTAACTGAAAATTAGAGGAAAAATTATAATAAAAGTCCTCCCTATTTTATACTCCAACTTTCTTTTCAGGTCATGAATATAGACTTTTTCCGTTTAAAACAATTCTAAAGGTATGGTAACATATAGGAGAGAAAATGTTTTAGATGTGTGTGTGAAATGTGTCCCATTTTATAAGCCTTCAAAATAAGATTGTTTCATTCTCATTTTATTACAAATGCTAAGCAACTATATACATTACATTCAGATGTAAGGCATAATTTTCAGAGCCTCAGAACTTAGCTACATCAACCAGTTTTGCTGAAGCACCCAAAGATAAAGTACATTTATACATGTTCTGGGGGGAACAACACTTTAATTAGAGCAGCTGCAAGAGCTACTGTAATGAAAGCACCCAGAGTATGACATGTATTGGTGTCCCCATGCTGAGAAATGGCACCAGGGGCACTTTAACTAAAGTTTGCCGAACGAGCTTTAGTTAAAGTGCCCCTGCCGCTGTTTTTCAGCATGGGGACACTGAAGTATGTGATGCTGGAGTCTGCTGGAGCCTGCTGGAGCATGGCAATTACCTGATTAATCAAGTCTGCTCCGACACACCGTAATTACAGCACGTGGGAGCAGCGTCGCTGCACGTATATAGGCATCCAAAGATATTTCTTCTTCAGTGAGGGCTTTTTCTATTCCAGATTTCAACCTTTTGTGCATCCCTGTTGGACTTTATGATGATTAAAAGATAGCAGTACAAGAACTCTGTGTGTGTATGTATGTGTGGGTGGGTGGGTGTTTGCAGGTGCACAAGGGAAGTGGGTTTTTTATTACTTTTTACATATATTCAGGAATGCCTGAACAGATTTTTAACAGGCAGGGTTTGTGTCCTGAGCAAATACTGAGAGAGAGGTGCAGGGGGAGTGGTGGAAGGCTGGTTCTGAGAGTTCAGTTGGGGTTGTAGGAGTCTTAGCCAGTCCCTGCCTGCAGCTACTGCTCTTGCTGCTGGGGCATGGACTCTCCGGGGGTTGGGGATGATTTTGGCACCCCTCCTAAGTCACTGCCTAGGGCTGGTGCTACTCTCACTCACCTCTAGTTATGCTACTGTTCCTGAATAATTTTTAACCAAAATAAAATTAAATAAAAAATCCCTTTTAGACTAGACCAAGGTTGGAAACTTTTAGCCCAGTGGTTAAAAAGTTTGAAAGAATGAGCAACTGATCAATCCAAGTTTGCAATAGAAATAGTAAGATTAGCTGTAGCAGGCAGGGCTGTTCTTATCGAACTGGGCATTCAACACAAAATACACTATCAGAAATGGAGCCCTTGTTGGAAGTCTCAGGTGAGAGCAAAGATTGAAATATGTGTATGTGCAGAGATATTCTTCTAGATCCAAAGCTGAGGTACATTGGTAGGATGGTTGTATTGCCTAGGCAAATGCTGTGCGTACTTTCTGGATAAAATGTTAGGATTTTGGCGTATAGGTTTTATTATTATTATTTTTAAATCCAGCATTTTTTATGAATAGTAAAATCACCAAAAATTTTGACATGAACATGTTGCAGGCATGGCTAGGTACAGGCATTCAAAAAGCCCAAGTCAAAATCGGTCTAAATTACAGTTTTCTGTAAGCAGCTTAGTTTAGATTGGTTACTTGGTCCAAAGCCTACAGTGGTCTGGGTTTCTAGAGAAAAATCTTTACTGTTGGGTAGCATGAAGTGATATACACAAGTCCCTTGGAGGAGGAGACCATCTCCTTTGCCCTTATAAATTTTCCTGCCATATATTGGGTGCTGTACCAGTATCTGTACTGACTGAAGTCACTTGTCAAACCTGAAAGGCAGATGGAAAGTGTGAAAGGGAAGGGAGCAGGCCCAGCAATCTTTTTCTTATTAACAAAATGAACACTACACCAGTTCTTTTTCTCCCTAAAGCTAGGTGCCTGTGTTGTTTCCAGGTACTGGTATGAGAAAAGAGAATTTAAAATAGGATAATGCTAAAAGCTGTCATGGCTGAAAGTCATTTCTGAAAACTAGAAACCTATCGGATTTAAATTTGTTGAAGTAATTTTTTGTTTGTCATTTCAGCTATGAAGTCTTACACTGCAGTTTTCATTCTCCTGTGGGGCACTGTTGGGATAGCCCGGGCTGCCAAAATCATTGTTGTGCCGCCAATTATGTTTGAAAGCCATCTATATATTTTCAAGACTCTGGCCTCAGCTTTGCATGACCAAGGTCACCAAACAGTCTTACTCCTCTCTGAGGGCAGAGAAATCCCTCCATCTGATCACTATAGACTCCAGCGTTACCCAGGGATCTTTAACAGCAGCAGTGCGGATGATTTTCTTCAGTCCAAAATGAGGAGTATATTTTCTGGGAGACTGACAATAGTGGAACTATTTGATATCCTGAATCACTATTCTAAGAACTGCGACATGATTGTGGGCAACCAAAATCTAATGCACGTTCTGAAACAGGAGAAATTTGACCTGCTGCTGGTGGATCCTAATGAGATGTGTGGATTTCTTATAGCTCACCTTTTAGGGGTTAAATTTGCTGTTTTCTCCACTGGTCTTTGGTATCCAGCAGAAGTTGGTGCTCCAGCTCCTTTATCTTATGTTCCAGAATTTAACTCACTTCTCACAGATCATATGAACTTCCTGGAAAGGATTAAAAATGTTGTTGTTCATCTGGTTTCAAGACTGGGAGTCAATTTTCTGGTTCTGCCAAAATACGAAACGATACTACAGAAATACAAGGCTTTGCCAGAGCGGTCCATGCATGATTTGGTTCATGAATCCAGCCTGTGGATGCTGTGTACTGATGTAGCACTGGAGTTTCCAAGACCCACGCTACCAAACGTTGTTTATGTGGGAGGAATCCTAACGAAGCCGGCTAGTCCTCTACCAGAAGTAAGGTTTGCTGAACTTTGTGGTCATTCTTGTTAAACATCGATGAACTCCTAAAATGAGTATTTTTTTCTCTCTTAAGGGATTTGAATGTATAAGCATTAATTGGTAAGCTAATATCCTCACATTTTTAAAACAAATGATGTTTTAGGTTTTTTTTATTTAATGCACTATCACAGTAGATAGAAATGTTTTGAGAAAAAAAAATAACATTTATATGTAGGAACGCATAGCATAAACATTCCTCTTTCTTGGCTTCTGTAGATGTCCTTCCTTTTTTTTGCTATTGTTTTGAATTAGATATTTTATGATCTAGCAAAGAGGCTGTGATACATGCCAGCTTGGCTGTTAGTAATGGAATTCTTTACCAAGTGCAAATGAAAGTAGAAAGGAAGTGGGTATGATTTATTGCATAGTTTTACATGCAAAATTTCTCTTGTTCCTCCATCAATGTGCTTCCTCTTGCCTTATTCCTCATCCCATGATGGGGTTATGACTCCTGTCTGCTGGCTAGAAGATTAAATCATTTCCAATTTTTTTACTACAAACATAGATAAAGGTGAACCAATGAAAACAGAGCTGTGACTAAACAAAAATGCCCCTTAAAAATGGCATTTGGCATCGGCATACAATTTAAGTATGGATCATGCAATTCTTGTATTGGCTGCCAGACTCAACAAACCTGAACCTCACACTGAAATGATGACAGTGTTTGAACACTGTTAGAAAACTGACTGTAGAGATCCTAATGGAATAATTGAATTTCATTGTTTGAATGTATCACATGCATGGTATCTAATAATGCCTCTGTTCAGTAATACTTTAACAGAAAGAACAGAATAATTTCACAAGTCACATAATTAACAAAGAATAGTTATTCATATATTCACTGCTGCTCTGGTTGCAAGATTAATCTGTGTTCAATTAGTAGATGTTGTCTGGGCCAGAGAGATATTGGGATGGAGGGATGTGTGTGGTTGTAAGATAGTGTAACCCTCCATTGCTTAGTTCTCAAAATATTTCATTCTGCTTAGTTTTGGAATCTAGCTGAAAACTGTGAGGCGGCCTGGGTTTCACATAACATACTCTTTTAATTCCTAGACTTGTTGACTTCAGGATATCTTATATTAAAACTGTGACTAGTTCTTCAACAGCAGTGATGACTTTTAGATTAGTTCAGAAATTGTAACAGTTTAGAACTTTGGACAGCCTGATTTACAATACTTACATTCATATCTCCATCCTTATTTTTTAAACATTTTTCTTTAATTGCTGTCCACTTACAAACAGAAAATAGAAACAACTGCATGGGAATCAAAGAATAAAGAAGGTTCTATATGACAGCAAAAGTAAAGGAAACCAGAATTACATGATGGATTACATAGTTTACGTTCATATTTATATACTAATTCTGTCTTTTCTTGAATGTATTAAATTATTTACTATTTAATTAAAGATCTTAAATATCACTCTATTCCATCCATAAGATATGAAGTGGCGCACATACAAAATACTTGTGATAATTTTGGTAACATACACTCAAAATAGTAGCAATGCCATAAAGATCAGAGACCCCTGTATAAGAGAGAGAGAGAGAGAGAGAGAGAGAGAGAGAGAGAGAGAGAGAG